TTATGTATAATGAATGCTCAATTATGTGGCATGAGATAATTTTCTTAATAATCTTTCTTGCAGTTTTTTGCAGTTGATCTGGTGACTCTGTCATTACATGTTCCTATATGTATCACAGTGTTGGTTGGACACAGGACCCAGAAGTCCACTTTATTTTTTTTTTTATTTGGAGTCACTCTGTCGCCCAGGCTGGAGTGCAGTGGCACACTCCGGCTACCCCAGTGTTGACTTGCTGGGTTCTAGCAATCCTTCCGCCTCAGCCTTCCAAGTAGCTGGAACTACAGGCGCGCACCACCACGCCCAGCTACTGAAGTCCACTTTGAACTAGCGATTGCATAGTGCTGCAGAGGCTGTAAAGGAAGGTTAGTGGCTTCAGATGGGTAGACAGGAGAGACTTCCACGCTGATTGTAGCTTGTAGTATTGATTTCCTGGCCTTTAACTGGAGATGGGAAATAGTTTATGTCCACACTTAATGTTGCACCCCTTCATTCTCTCAAGACTCCAGGCACATAATACTGCTCTGAGGCTGCAGGTCAGTAAAACGCCTCCTGTTGACACCAGTGGAACTGACTGCTTCAGGACAGGCTGGATCCTGCCCCTTTCCAACTAAGAATAGACAAGCATTTTTGTCTGTACTACTGATAAGTGTTTATTGTCATGTCATTCACAGATGTGCGTTCCTGATAATCTACTGTAATGAGAATGGTTCAAGGTCAACTATTCTCATACCCCAACTAGAGTATTAGACGGTTCTCTTCTCACAGTTAATTACTTTTATACACCTGAGGCATATTTTGCAAATTTCTCATAGAGAAACTCTTAAAACCTGGACATGATTTAATATAGAGGCAAGAATAAAGCAAGTGGAATATTAGACATTTAGGATTTTATTATGCTATAGTCATCTACAGGCTCGTCTTTTAACTATAATTTTTATAGGTATCTAAGAAAGTATCTTGCCGGGCTCGGTGGCTCAGCCTGTAATCCCGCGCCTTTGGGAGGCTGAGGTGAGTGGATTGCCTGAGCTCGTGGGTTCGAGACCCACCTGAGCAACTTGACGAGACCTCATCTCTACA